ACATAGAAGTATGGACACATAGAAGTATGGACACGTAGAAGTATGGACACATAGAAGTATGGACACATAGAAGTATGGACACGTAGAAGTATGGACACATAGAAGTATGGACACATAGAAGTATGACACATAGAGTATAACACATAGAAGTATGGACACGTAGAAGTATGGACACATAGAAGTATGGACACATAGAAGTATGGACACGTAGAAGTATGGACACATAGAAGTGTGGACACGTAGAAGTATGGACACGTAGAAGTATGACACGTAGAAGTATGGACACGTAGAAGTACGGACACGTAGAAGTATGGACAATAGAAGTATGGACACATAGAAGTATGGACAGTAGTAGAAAAGTGGACACAAGAAGTATGGACACATAGAAGTGTGGACACGTAGACGTTTGAACACGTAGAAGTATGGACACGTAGAAGTATGGACACGTTGGAGTACGGACACATAGAAGTATGGACACAGATGTGTGGACACGTAGAAGTATGGACACGTAGAAGTATGGACACGTAGAAGTGTGGACACGTAGGGAGTATGGACACGTAGAAGTATGGACACGTAGAAGTATGGACACGTGTATGGTTCGTCTTCTCTATCATCGCCAGCGTTGTCTCTGTCCTCAGGTGGGAGGAGGAACGATCCACCGACGGATCCAAATGGCGTTCCTGGAGCACAAGGGTCCAGTGTTTGCGGCGCCGTATGAGGCCATGCCCGACAAAGTGAAGTTTTACTACGACGGTGAGCGTGTTGTGTATGTTAGAATATTGTAAACACATTATATTGGTGTCAACCACAGACTGTATGTAAGGAGAGGACGGAGACATCCAGACGTCACTCGTTGGTTCGTGGGCCGACGTTGTGAAGCCTGAAGTTTGACGCCATCTTGGATTGTTGACCTGTGGGATTTGTTTGCAGGTAAGCCGATGAAGCTGAAGCCTCCTGCCGAGGAGGTCGCTACGTTTTTTGCCAAGATGTTGGATCACGAGTACACCACCAAGGACATCTTCAGGAAGAACTTCTTCAAGGACTGGAGGAAGGTGAGGAGATGACCCGCAGCCGGTGTGCGGCACTCGAGTCCACACGCGCCTCACCAGTCTCCTCCGTTCCTCCAGGAAATGACGTCAGAGGAGAAGTCCAAGCTCAGCGACCTCAACAAGTGCGACTTTGGCGAGATGAGCGAGTACTTCAAGGCCCAATCGGAAGCCAGGAAGCAGATGTCCAAAGAGGAGAAGCAGGTCGGCCCGCCTCCGCGTGCACTCCCTCGGGGGGAAAAGACGTCGTGTTTTTATTTCCCCTTGTGCCCTTTTGCAGAAACTCAAAGAAGAGAACGAGAGGCTCCTGCAGGAGTACGGCTTCTGCATCATGGACAACCACAAGGAGAGGATCGGCAACTTCCGCATCGAGCCGCCCGGACTGTTCCGAGGGCGAGGGGATCACCCCAAGATGGGAATGCTGAAGCGCCGCATCCGGCCCGAAGACATCATCATCAACTGCAGCAAGTGGGTGACCTCTCAAGACCGCCGGCGCCGCCTTGATCACGCACACGCGTGTATTTCTTTTTTTCTTCTACCACGTGGTGGAACGTGGAAATTTACAGGATTTACAGCAGCGTGGGGTAAAGTATTATAAGAGAGATATAAAAGTAAGAACCCACAATGAAAATGATGTATACAGGAGGAATGAGAAAATGACTCTCAGGCTCTAGTGTCAAGTCCTCTTCACTCTTCACTCGCTGTCTTTTTTATTTATAGTAAACCTGCCTCTGCTCTGCAGGGACTCCAAGCAGCCGAAACCTCCCCCGGGGACAAAGTGGAAGGAGGTTCGCCATGACAACAAGGTGACCTGGCTGGCGTCGTGGACAGAGAACATCCAAGGGTCCATCAAGTACATCATGTTGAATCCAAGCTCCAGGATCAAGGTACCGTGTCAACATATGACCAGTTATTCATAGCCGAGAAAAAAGGATCTGTTTCCCTAATGAATAACCTGTGTGTGTGTGTGTGTGTGTGTGTGTGTGTGTGTGTGTGTGTGTGTGTGCCTCTCCCGTCAATATGAATTTCACAGTCTAGTGCTGCTGCCTCTCAGAGAGGATCACCCCCCCTCTCCCCTCAATATTATGACTCTCCCTCCCCCAAATGCTTTTTGAGAGAGCCGTGTAGTCCTTACGTTGGGAGCCCGCCGCCCTTTCCCTGAGGGCCCCAGGAGGGGTACGGTTTTTGCTTGAGCGGTTTGGATTGCGGATCGTCTCCGAGCAGCAACTTCAGCGGAACTCAGGGTTTGACGAGAACACATTTTTTTTTAATAAGGAAAATGATGAATAGATGGACTCATGGACCATCATGGCAGCAAGTTACGCTGGGAAGGAAAAACAAAATTGCTGCCATAAAGCCAAACGTTCTCTCAGCGTCGAGCTCAACACGCTCCGAACTGACTAACTCGGTAGCAGAGGAGTGAGGTTGAGACCTGCATCTGGGAGGCCCTCACTTCCGTTTAGAGCCAGAAGAGTAGATCATGGGACTAGTGCTTTACTTTGGCTTCATGCAGAGGCAGAGGTTTATGCGGGAGAGCAGTACCTTCTGTGATATGTCCAAAGGGTCAGAGGATGTGAGGGAAGTACGTATACCCATTTCATAGATAGAGTTGGAGAGTCTGAGGATGACCGTGAGTAGACTTGTTCGGCTT